AAATAAACGTCTCAGTTTCTCCGAAACACCCGCAACATACGGAATAACCACTGGTTTGGGTCTGGGTTTGGGGTCTTCATTTTCACCTGAAGGTGGCATGGAGTCCTGTCTGTGTTTCCTGTCTGCTTTCAGGAAAGCCCAGTCAGGATAACCACACTGCTCCAGGGCCTGTCGTGTGTGTGATTTCTCTTTCTCCCTGGCTCCTGGGTTTGTAGGGACACTGTCTGCTCTGCTCAGATGGTCTGTTGTTTCATTATCGTTGTCACAAAAGGTACAGCTGTTATTGTCAAAGTTGAATCTTTGTCGTAATAGTTCCCTGGATGGAAAGATGTTATTGAGAATTTTAAAATTAACTTCTAGGACTTAAGGGGTTTTTAAGGTAAGCAGTTCTCCACTTATTAACCTCTGAATCAGAAAACAATTTTAAAATGGAGTTTCTATTTGGGTGTATAGGAAATATATGATTAGTTAGATGCTGACGCATCCGTTTGTTAGAGTTAATTTTGTCCAAAAGGTTAACTCCATACAGTTGAAGTGCAGGTAAATGGAGGTTAGCTGACTGAATACTTGTATTTTTAACCAGATATTTGACTGCAGTAGGAATAGAGATCAATACTGTGTTAAACTGAGAGCGTGAAAAGTCCAAATGATACAACAAACAAAATTCTTCGTAGGATAACCAATCTCCATTATCATTTAGAAAGTGTCTTATAGACCAGATACCTTTTTACTGCTCCAGGGCCTGTCGTGTGTGTGATTTCTCTTTCTGCCTGGCTCCTGTGTTTGTAGGGACACTGTCTGCTCTGTGGTCCTGATCACTCCTAACTTGTGTTCCAGTGGGTGGTGGGAGTCAAAACGCAAATATTGGTCTGTGTGGGTGGGCTTACGATATACGCCAGTTTCCAACCGTCCTCCATCCGAAACCGAGACATCGCAATCCAGGAACACCAACCTGCCAATTTTTTTACATCCTCTCGTGTGAACTTTATACATTCATCGAAAGATTAATGCTACAATGATCCGTAAGAGGGCTTGGAGACATATTACACTCTGATGCTAGTTTGAGAATATCATCTGTTCCTGACCAGAAGTCGATTCTAGATCTGCTTGATGCATCTGGTTTAAACCAGGAAAACTGTTTTTCGGTAATATGTTTGTCTCTCCATAAGTCAACAAGTCCTAAGTTGTTACAGAAATCAGACAAATTACGGTTTAGATGGGAGTTTGGGAATTTGTTCGGGTATCTATCAAGCCCTTCGTCCATAACCATATTCCAATCCCCACCTAAAAGGATATATTTAGTAGAAAATCTTTAAGTTGTTCGACATTTACTTCAATAATTTTAAGAAGCTCTTTATTTTTAGAGATGTTGCAGTAACCATAAATATTACCTAGGATTATAAAAGAGTCTTCAACATGTAATATGGAGAGAGACCAATGGCCGTCACTGTCATGTTTTTTATGTATTATTGTCCCTGGAAAGTCATGCAGGACAAGTGCCCAGCCCACATGGGCTTACAAGACACAACAAAATAAATAAATTCACACAGGTGGACAGATTCACATTACACATTCTTAAAACAAAAGGTATCCTCTTCCAGAGCTAGATAAACTAAATTTTAATAAACATTAATAACGGTATTAAACAGTTCATTTGTCAAAGTAGTATATAAAGAACAAGAAACAAAAAGTGCATCTGATTTTCAACCTCACCCAAATGACAAAAAGAACAAACGGTTTTCCTCTTGAATTGAGTGAAAATGCAGTTTCCATAACCAGAGACAAAGTGCCAGATGTTCCGTAAACTGTGCACAAATTGACCTTTAAGGTTTACATAGGTTCCATATTACATGAGGCTCAGGACCATAACTGTCCTTTATCTGAATGTAGGTTTGTATTGGTT